AAGCCAACTTGAAAGGGCTCCTACTGGCCAAATCTGGGATAATTTGAGCACCAAAATAGTAATAATTTTAACAAAAAATTATTCATAAATAAAATAGGAAACCTTAAGTCTGTAGTGCTAAAATTAACAGCTGATATGAAAGTGTATTTATGTATTAAAATACCTAATCACAAAATTCTATTCCTCCTTTTCTGTTTTTTTTTTCCTTTGTAGTGCTGGAGATGGAACCCAGGACATCGCACATGCTAGGCAAGCACTCTACCACTGAGCTGTGTACCTCCACCCCTATTCCTCTCTCTTAAGTACAGTTGGGTCTCTGTATTTGCAGGTCCTGAATTCAACTGTGGATTGAAACTATTCGGGAAAAAAATACTGAATCTGTACTAAACACATACAGACTTTTTTTAGTCATTAGTCCCTGAACAACACAGTATAACAACTATTTATACAGCATTTACATTATATTAGGCACTGTAAGTAATCTAGAGGTGATTTAAAGTATACACAAGGATGTATACACATCACATACAAATATTACTCAATTTTATGTAATTGTCTTGAGCTTCCTTGGATTTTGGTATGGGGGAAGGGTTCTGGAACTACACCCATCTATTTCTATTGACTTCACAATATAAATACCTGGCAAACACCAGCCTAATTAAGTAACCAAAAAGCATATCATCAGTAATGGAACTGAAATTCTATACTACCTCTTATTATGCAACAAGAATACTATTTCCATTATATAACTGTCAAAGACACACACCCTGAATTGAATCATGAAGAAACATGAGACAAACTCAAATTGAAAGATATTCTAGAAAATAAACTGTCTACAATTTTCAACAGATTTTAAGTCAGGAAAAGGAGATATACTTCTATAAAATTTAAACTTGCTGGGATAATGTTAAGAAGACATTTCTAATGTCAAGAAGATGGGAAATTACCAAGATGGATTATGTAAAGGTGCAAATTTCCAATGATGAATGTCATTATATTGTATACCTTAAATGTACCAATAAAATTAAATTTTTTAAAAAAGATGGGAAATGGCCGGGGATTTAGCTCAGTGGTTTCGCTGCCTGCTGTGCAAGTGCAAGGACCCGAGTTCAATCCCCGGTACCAAAAAATAAATAAAAATAAAAATAAAGTAAATAAATAAATAAATAATTTTAAAAGATGGGAAATAACATATAGTAAATGTATAGATCTTAAGCAATTAAACAGTTTTGCTTTTTTTAGGGAACATTTTTTAAGAGGAAACCTTCCCAAAGTTCAACTCTACAAATTTATAAACTTCTGCCTACAAGTTCAAGGAAACCATATATACAATAACTGCTATTAACATAATCACTTCTCAAATGTTGAACTTCATGTTGGATGTGGTGGTGCACACCTGTAATTCTAGCACTCGGGAGGCTGAGGCAGGAGGATTGCCAGGAGTCCAAGGCCAGCTGAGGCTACATAATGAATATAAGGCCAGCAGGCCAGCCTGAACTACATAGAGTCCCTGTCTCAATAAACAAAAAACAAAACCAAATGTTGAACTTCAGAACATGATATAAGTTTTCTTCTTTTTCATGATCTAAGTTTTATAATTATGATTTTAGTTTAAATCAAGAAGACAAGCTGCACATGGTAGGCCAGGCCTGTCATCCCAGCACTCTAGGAGTCAGAGGCAGGAGGATCAAAGCTAGCCTGGATCTAGTGAGACCCTGTATCAAAATAAGAAACATAAAAGTGATTGCTCAGTATGAACCCCTAGAGGGCAGGGGACAGAAAGAGACAGAGAAAGACAGAGAGAGAGAATTACTTGGTATTTTACTAGTCCCTCTATCAAGAATGTCCATGGGTTAGAAAGAAGTTGTGTGTATGTGTTGGGATATCCTTCTATTCAGAGAACAAACAGAAAAGAAACTCTCCATCTATTATTAGTTTCCTGGGGCTGTCCAAATAAAAAGAAAAATGGTACTTTTATATATGTAAACAGGCACCTTCAATTTTTATTCATGTTTGTTGTAGGACCTTAAATAAAACATTTTATCAAATATAAATGCACAAAAACTGCAGAAAAATAACAAAATGGAAATGGTATGGGAAGAAATCAAGGCTATCTAAGAATAAACTAGGTCATCTGGGTGGCTCTGGTTGCCAAGCAACTGGAATTTCTCACTGTTTTCCTTTGGAATAATCCAATCTTTAAAACTTTTATTAAATTATTTTTTCTTCTTGAAGATTTTTACTGATATACTTAGGAATACACTAATGAGAAAAATGAAAGACTTGAAGGAAAATTTAAAACTATTGAAAGATGTAAAAGAAGTAAAATATAACTTCCTCCTCAAAAGAATCAGAGTAATATGTTAATTATTCCCAAATTAATTTATAAAGTCTATGCTATTCCAAATGTGGTTTTTAGGCAACAAGAATTACCAAATTAATTCTAAAATATATCTAGAGAAATAGATAAGAAATACTAGTTAATTTCTAGAGAGGTAGTATTTTGCCCTAGAATATATTTGCTACAGTATGCACTGAAGCAGGAATGGAATACATAATACAAAAGCTAGTTCAGGTTAGAAATGGTGTATGTACCCAAGGGCAGACTAAGCCACACAAGCAGAATGTATAGACATGTCTAATGAGTGTGTGTGCCTGTGTCTCTGTCTACTATAAGCATGCATGACATGTAGATGAAAAACTAAAAATTCAAATTACATGAGTGGATAATAATGGATTATTAAAAAATTAAGCTAATATCTTGGATAAAAAAAGACTAAAGCCTTATATACACTCTCCACATTCAAACTATTCCTAATGCAACAAAGTTTTTGTTTTAACATTTGCAGTACATAATGTTTTCACACCTTGTGTGGACTTGGGATATGTAAATACATCATAATTCCTGTTTTCATCCCTTTTCCCTCTCTGCCCTCTTGCTTTCATCTCTTGATCCCCTTTCCCATTGAGAAAGATATATCTTCCTACTTCCTATTATCTTTTATTTTGCTCTTTACTTGTAATTTGGGTTTCTTATATAAAAGGAATCATGAGATTTAGGCTTGTGTCCTTTTCATTTATGGTCTGAAGGTACATCCATTTTCCTACAAATGCCTCGAGTTTGTCTTTCTTTATGGCAGGATAGCACTCCATTGTGTGTAAGTTTTCTTTATCCATTCATCTGTTGGTAGACATATAGGCTGCTTCCAAACTCTAGCCATTATGAATTACACTATTATAAACATGAGTATGCATGTACTATAATGTGATGACAAAGATTTAAACATCAAAATAAAAGCAACCAGCTGGGTGTGGTGGTGCAAGCCTGTAAACTCAACACTCAGGACGCTGAGGCAGAAGAATCACTTGGAGTCAGCCTGGGCTACATATTGAGTTCAAGGCCAGCCTGGACTATATAGTGAAACCCTGTCTCAAAAATCAAAATAACCAAATAAAAAGCAACCAAAATACACAAATATTAGAAGAAATATAGTTCATTTAAATCTTAAAGATTGTATCGTGACAATCTTAAGAGTTTACCAGATGTTTAAACACATTTTTAATTACATAAGTGGAAAAATTCATAGACTGAAAGAAAAATGGTAGTTCCTAGAGACTAAGGAGAGGAGAGAATGAGAAGTTATCATTATTATTATTACTTTTTTGGGGGGGGGGGATTTTTGAGGCAGGGTTGCCCTTTGTAGTTCAGGCTAGCCCTGAACTCACTATGTAGTCCAGGCTGGCCTCAAACTCACAGCAATCCTCCTGCCTCAGCCTCCTGAGTGCTGGGATTACAGGTAAGCGCCACCATGCCTGGAGGGAAGTTATTATGTAATTGACAGACAGTTTCAGTTTGGGATGATAAAAAAGTTCTGAAGATGGATGGTGGTGGTAGCTGTACATCCATTTGAATGTACTTAACCCTACAGAAGTGTACCCATAAAATGGCTGAAATGATAAATTTTATATTATATATAGTTTTAAAAGTGGCAGGAAATGGCATTAATAGAAATGTAAGTACATTACTAATTATCAAATAAAAGTAAAACATTAATATATAATTTGTGTGTCATATTAACAAAGATAGGTGGGAAAATCACTTGCTCATACATTATCAATAGCAGTCAAAACGGCAGGTATATGATCTTTACAAAAAATAATCATGTAGTATCTATATTTTGTATGCTTTGTATGTATATATCAAATGCAATATATGCACATGCTTTGTCCTAGCAATTTCACTTCCAGAAATGAAACTAATAAGATAATGTTGCAAATGTGCTAAAAATGTGTTATTGAAGAACTACTTATAAAAGCACAAAACAGGAAACAACTTCAATGTTCACCAAAAGGAAAAGAGATAAACCAGGACTCTCCTATATAAAGGAATAATATATAGTCATTAAATACTGTAATTACAAAGTGACTCTGTATGTTAAGAAAACATGTCCATAACATTAAGAAAAGGCTTCAAAATATCAAGATTCCTTGTTTACTTTATGTTTTGTCCTGGTACTAGAGAATTGAACCTAGGGCCTTTGCACTAAGCTACATCCCCGTCTTCCCTCCCCACCTTTTAAATTTTCTATTTTGAGCCTGGATCTTGCTAAACCATTAAGTTGCCCAGGCTGAGCTTGAGGTTGCAATGCTCCTACCTCAGCTTTCCAGAGAGTTAGAATTACAGGCATGCATTCCACACCCAGCCTTAATATCTTTTTTGTATTGTAGAAATAGTTTCAAAGGAAAACCAAAAGTATCTATCATTTCTAATACCATAACCTTAAATATTTCTTTTTTTTTTCAAATATTTCTAAATGGCACTCACTGCCTTTACTCTTAAGCCTTAGGAGAAATTATATACACAATCTTAAGTTATAATAGATCATAAAATGAAGAGAAAGACATGGTTCTTTTTCCTAATATATAGAAAATTACTTTTAAGTTATGATATTATGTGTTCTTATGCCTATTTATAAACAAAAAATGCCTTTAATACTTACAGCTTGATTAGGCAGATTGTCAGTCTTAAGTTCTCTGTGATTGGAATACTGAATATAAACAGGTTGGCTTCGAAGATGAGGAGTAACGGGAGTATAATAATTTACCATAGTAACAGCAGCTTCCTCAGAAGCCATTTCTAAGAAAGCCTGCAATAAATACAAGAAAGTAAAGTTAGTGCTTTTTTGAAAGACAGTTAAGAATTATTTTGTCATTCTAGGTTGCTCGAAACTCATGCCTTTTCTGGTACCGGCGATCGAACACAGGACCTTGAGCTTGCAAGGCAGGCACAGTGCCATTGAGCTAAATCCCCAGATCATGCCTTTTTTTTTCTTTGGCTCATGCCTTCTCAATAGAAATGGCACAGACCCCAACAGAATGAAACATCTTTTGCTTCAAAGTATATTACAAATACTACTCAGAAATACATTTGAAAAGTTGGGTTGGTTCAATAAAGGATTTGGACTTAGAAAACTGACAGTTGATTAAGACTATATGGTTTCGGGTTTTCTTCTTATTTCCATTTCTTCTAAAATCCAAAAACAATTTAAATGGTAGGTGTGTGGATATAGCCCAGTGGCAGAGTGTGTGCTTAGCATGAATGAGGCCCTGAGTTCACCTGCCAGCACATCACTGGGAGGGTGGAAGATGTTAATTAATGAGCCAAAAATAAATGTGTGTGTGTGTTATCACTACAAATGAATGCTTTCAGGGGTTTTGATTGAATAGTTTTTTGTTAAAAATCATGGAAATCTTGGAGCTAAAGGGAATTTTATGGAGCACTGACAGAATCCAAAAAAACCCTTCTTAGGGGAGAAAAAAGAAAGAAGGGAAGGAGAGAGGGAGGGAGGAAGAAATGAAAGTTGAGGCCAGGTGTGGTGGTGCATGCCAATAATCCCAACATCGGGAGGTTAAGGCAGAAGGATCGCTGGCCAGCCTGGGCTACATACTGAATTCAAGGCCAACTTGAACTACATAGTGAGACCCTGTCTCAGAAAAAAAAGATTGAAAAACAGTGTTCTAATTTCCCCCTCACCCTGTGTTATAAATCAAATCCAAGACCCTAGAGTGTGCCAGGCAAACACTCCACCATTGAGCTGCATTCCCGAGCCCTTTTTACTTTTAGACAGGGTCTCACTCAAGTTGCCCAGACTGACTTTGAGCTTTTGATCCTCCTGCCTCAGCCTCCTGAGTAGCTAGGATTACAGGCACAAAACACTTCACCCAGCTACCCTATCCAAATTCCTAAACAGGAAGGAAGCATAATTATTTGCTATACCTTACTTCTTTATAAAACAACTACAGTACTTATAAATAAGAGCATTCATTTTTAATAAGAGTTATTATTTCATATCTAGAAAAAATATCCATGAACTAAAAGCAAGTAATGAGAATCCTCATGACATGGTGGAAAGAGAACCTGATTTAAACCTGTACCTAGTTATGACTTGGTCATTAGTACTTCTGAGCCTCAGTTTCTTCATCTAAAACATGAAGCTCTGCCTAATAGGATCTTTCAGTCTCCCTGAAGCTGACATATTGTTTAAGTGGAGCTCCTGTTAGGTGGTCTGTCTGGGATTTTGCAGGAAAAAACTACCCCAACCACTGAAAGAACCCATTTCAAATGATGGTGAACACCTTTTGTTATTGTTTATTTGTGCTTGGTACTGGGGATTGACCCAGGGCCTTCACACTAAGCTACACCCCCAGCCCTTATTTATTTAATTAATTTATTTATTTGCTTACTTATTTGACAGGGTCTCACCAAATCACTGAGTTGCCCAGGCTGGGCTTGAACTTGTGATTCTCCTTGCCTCAGCCTCCCACAGTGCTGAGGTAAGAGGTGTGTGCCATGACACTTTGCTAGTACATTTAGTTTAATTTACTTTTCAAATATGTGTCTAATCAACACCTACATTACACTCTGGAAGAAAAGTTACAATAAATATGTAAAGTACTTTCTCCTATTTTATAAGGAATAATAAAAATACATTGAATGTTCAATTTTTAATAAATTATTACAGTTAACAGACACACTGCCATTAATTCCCCCTCAAAATATTTCCCCTTGCTTCCAATGCACTTTTCTCATCATTCCTGTTACTTTCTGAAGTAGTTCTGAAAGTTGTCCTTCATGAGGTGTTTTCAGTTGCACTGTTGTGGCTGCCTCAAAATCCCAAACTGATTCAAAACATTTACCTTTTATGGTCATATTGACTTTGGGTAAGAGTCAGAATTAGGACAGTGCCGGATCCAGTAAGTAAGATGGGTAAGGACACACCACAATGCTTTTATTTGACAGAAACTGCTGTGAATATTTGATCAAGGGGTGATCCAAAAATAATGCTGAAGGCCGGGGATTTAGCTCAGTGGTGCTGCTCCTGCCTCGCAAGTGCAAGGTCCTGAGTTCGATCCCCAGTTTGAAAAAAAAAAAAAGAGTTGGGTTCTGCCACC